CTTTATCTTCAAGTAATTTCTCAATTTCTTGCTGGGTCGATGAAGCGAATTGAGAAGCCATTCTTACTTCGCTGTCCGCGAACTTGACATTGCTGTCCGTGCACTTGACATTGCTCTTGGAAATCATGCATCGCGCGCGCAACCTACAGATTATTCACTAAGGTACAGATTAGTGAATAATCTGTAGGTTGCGCTATTTCCCAGAATTAACTGTAGGCTTTTAGCCAATGAGAAGACAGATGGTGACTACAATGTATAATAATAATGATTATTAAAACCACCTTAACCAGCGTATGCGGAGCTCTAGTGTTATCAGATATGGTGCCGCTGATGACTTACGACATCACTCAATTTGGCGGCCATCTTGGGTGCCATCTTGGAATCACTGTTTTAAGCACATGGCATTTTCCGTGCAGCTGTAGGTCCAAAATAAATCATTATTAAATACTATTTTGCTTATTTTGGTACTGTTTTGAACGCAACAAAGTGCCAATCATATAGTGCCACTATATGATTGTGTGATTGTACAATCAGCTTTTAATTTAATTCCTCGCATAATGAAAGGATTTTATACGTTTTTTTTCTCATCCTCATCAGGTCTTTGTAGGATGCATCTTTTTTGTCTTTTTGTTAACTTTATGGCTGTTGTTGTTTGTTTGTTTGTTTTTTATCGCTTTCAGCTCTAATTAGCTTTGTTTTTCTTCTATGTCGTATCTTCTTTTTCTTGTTGTTCCTCGACAGGTTTTCCTGTTCAGACTGGGCGAGTTTCACTGAGGAGACATGTACAGTGGGCAGAGACGGCCTGTGAAGTAGTGAAATTTCCACTGTTTTCATTCTATCCGGACAAAGAAGTGCACGTACAAATAACGACCAATCACTGGAACATAAGCGAGAAATATTTTATACATGATGCTACTGTGTCCTGGGTGGAAACTGTTAACTTCGAGAATTTTGAGGTGAATATTTTAAAAGAAAGTTTTCAATTCAAGTATTACTTCAAGTAGTGACCCTCTGCTCATTGTCTTACATCTCCAAGAGCTCTTGTTTACCTGTCATATTTCTGGCCAGTAAAATACTATTTGAACATATTTTATTTTCATAACGAGTTAATAACGGAGATCTCGCGTTTTGCGCGCGCAGAGGAGCACTATGGGTAAGAAAATTTGGTTATCTATGCATCCAAGAAATTTTGGTTACTAACAAAATCGTGCGTACGTACGTAGGACTGCGTCTTCATATTAACGGATGTGAAATGTCTTACTAGCTGTAAGTCTAAAACATAAACAAATTGTGTTTCACGCGATTTTGGACATCCATGTTATAATCAATTGACACCTGTCAAAGTAGGGCATCCCCAGACCAGTGTCACACGACTTTATTGCGGGCTCAGGTGTGCTACTTATTGAGATGACGGGTTTTTCTAAAGTTCTCCGCTGACTAGTAACAGAATTCAAGAGATCGCAGGCTTAGAAAACTTTACTTCAGGAAGTAAGTTACCACAAGAGCTTCGCTTTTGGCCTTGGCTAAATCTATATATTATCTTACCATATAAAATAAACATTAGCCATCACATTTTATCTTTAGGTGTGCGTGACTGCAGCAGGAAGAAATGATCGCTTTATCAAAGAATTTGCCACGGTGGACTGGATGGCTTACCAAGGTGCTCCCGATGGAGGTGTGTCGGGTAAAACGCGCATTCCAGAATGGTGGACTGGATCACAGTGTTCAAAAGTCAGCCTTCCTCAGGCAATAACACTTTATTGTTACCTCTCAGCTGCAGCTTGTTTCGTTGCTAATGACCTTTAGTTATTTTTTTGCTATGCTGATGTTATAAGTACCAAACACTCCAGTTGTTAACCAGTCAAAGATATCGTCCTTGGACTTGGAGACATGAGCTGCAAAGAGGCAGCCCTGTTCTGTCCGCCGAATTCCTTCCGACACATAGGCCATTTTTATTAGAAGGGGGAGATATTCTTTATCACTCAATACAAAAAAGAGGAGAAAGAAACTTGTGCGGGCAAGGGCTAAATTGGACAGTCGCATTCAGACACCTAACAACGATCCCAGTATGTCTTAAAGAGCGTCCCGATCATGTGAAAGATTGTTTATTCCAAATTTAATTTTACATGCTATTCTCCCAATCATCTTTGCTTTGCACACTTAATAATTACCAATTCAACTTTCTTACTGTTATGACTGTTTTTTTTTTTTGTTTTTTTTTAACAGGGAAAATTTGCGTCTACACCAACAGTCCTGGTTACAGCAGAACATATAAGTGCAGACTTTAAGCACGATGCCGCAAGTTTGTGGGTGGAAAACGCAACCAGTTCCTCCTTTTACATTTGTCTTTGAGAACTACAGAATTATGATGGTCTACATGAGGATATCTTTGTGGTATATGTTTTCTCCTTTATAAATATATCTGTCTGACGTTTACTAAAACGTGGCTAAAAAATTTCAAGTGTAGTATTGTATCAATTTGATATCTAAGTCGAATGGAAAGCAGTTAAAAGTTACTAGCTGTACGGTCTGAATAGGATCAATGATAAAATACGTGAAATGAGATCATCTCGCAAGTATTGTGGATACAACTTACAACTCGTTTTTCGAGAACATAGCTTAATTATTTCTACACGGTATTTAGGTATGAGATAGCAATCCATTTATGATTGGTATCCCTCTCTTTAGAGTTGGATGTCCTTTGAAAAAATACACAGGCCCCTTTTCGCTGAGAGCAAACACGTGGATTTTCCAAACAACAATTCCGTTTCTACAAGCTACAATGGTGCATTTTGCAAGGTAAGAAGCACTTTGCTTTTTAAGCAGAAGAAGGCTCCGTAACTATTAGATAGAACAGCAGAGGGTACTCCCTTATATAAGCTATATAAGTATGTGCCGCCCCATCGGGTAGGGTTTTTGCGCCGTTTAGGTCTGAAAACGGGTGTACACTTTGCCCATTTTGGTCTGGAATCGGGAGTGGCTTTTGAGGGAACTACGGGAGTGTATGACGGTATTTATCGTTTCAATTCCAAATTAGCCTGCGTTGCAGCCGGCCCACGCACTCGTCTTCTGCGACGCAGGCAATTCCAAATGAGTGAGAAAGAAAGAGAAATATGCGAATTCGAAATGGATTTGAAGTGTTTTTTAGTTTGCGCTTTAATCTAAGTAATGATAACATAATCTCTGCCTAAAGGCCAGGTCTGAAAACGGGTGTGGAAAATAACATTTTTTGGTCTGAAATAGAGTCAGGATTTGGAGTACCGGGCGGCACATCCCCACATCCCTACCAGGAATTCCCAGGAGTACCTCCCCATGTATCAATGTATCAATGAGACGCACGGTCCGTATGTCTTCGGACCGTACGGATCGAACAAACCGTAACGCAATGTACCCTGATGTAATAATGAGATACACGCTCCGTATGTCTTCGGACCGTACGGATCGAACGAACCGTAACGCATTGTGCCCTCATGTAATAATGAGATGCACGCTCCGTGTGTGCCCAGCATACGGACCGTGAGTAATAGTGACGGTTTGTGCAGAACGTACGGTCCGTTAACTGCTCTTAACGGTCCGTAACAGTGCGGCAGTATTGGACATGACTGCACATCCCTACCAAGAATTCCCAGGAGTACCTCCCCATGTATCAAACAATAACATTTCATATTTACGGCTGTAAAACTCCAGATTTTATCCCAACTTAATAAATGGGAGTGAAAACGAAGGAAGTCGACCATGATTGATCTCACATTTAGTTGCCATATCATGTCATATTAGCTTTGAAAAGAAAAGAGATGAGCCATGAAAGGAACTTGTTTTTTGACAGTTCATCAAAGCCGTCGGAAAAAAATCTTGAACAAAGAAGTGTTTTTGGTACTCAAAAATTACCTGTTCCTTCGAGTCAGCGCAGATAAATTCCAGCCACCAATTATATGACCATGCATTGATAAAAATGGACGGTATTTCAAAGTTTATATCAACAGCCTTCTTTTTATGTACTTAGGACGTCCAATTTGCAAAGAATTACGACAAAGAACCCATAGTATTAATAGCAGCCGGTCACAACTCAGAGGGCAACAATTTGAAGCCAATATACATGTCCGTGACCCCATGGATTGAGGTATTCTCAAATTATTTAACTAATATACAACGCTTCGAAACGCTCTTTCTTCAAAATAAGTAACATCTAGCTGATGACCTGTAGGAAATGCGCAAATGAGCTAAATTACACCAAGGTCTGTTCATGCAGCCTGTTTATCAGTCACAGTCGCGCAGCGAAACAATCCATCTATTTGTCCATCTGTTATTTAAGGTCAATTTCCCAAGTCCTTTTTTTTTTTTTTAAGATACGAAAAGGACTCTGAAATTAAAAGACTCAGCTATTACTGTTCTTGTAAGCGAAATATATGTCGCTAGATGATTTGCTTATTATTTTACAGCACATCAAGACCAGCGAATTCCGCATTTGTCTCAAGGAGTTGTTCGCTGACCAGCATGATCCTGTGACTGTGTCCTATACAGTACTAGCAGGTGTGTTAGTAAATGATAAAAAAAAAAAATTCTTTGCGAAGACCTTCTCATGCCCAGCAAGCTTTGGTAGATGTCAAGTAAACTTAGAGACTCCTTGTTTCGTATCTCCTTTAAGTAATCACCAGTAAATGTATTTTCTTAGTTCCTACTTACTACAAGCATCTGTTTCTTTTTCCAAAAACTTCTCGGTCAGCTAAGGCCTAAGCCAAACGTCGAAGTTTTCATGGAACGAACCAAACTCTAATTTGAGTCGACCTAACTTAAGTTAACTTTATAGGACGCGTGGAACCAATCAACTGAATCAGATCAGTAATAAAATTATTTTCTCCCGAACGATTTTATATACATTTATATCGAACAATTTTTTTAAAATTTATTAGTTTAGTTCCTCACATGTGAAGATCGACGCTTGTCCCGGAGACGATCTTCGGACGCTCTGTCCGTCTGAACGTGTTGGACGATCCAAACTCATTCAGACGAACTTAACTGAGCCAGGCGTCGCTTACAACGTTTCATGAACTTAATTCACTAAGTTTAGTTCGTCTCATGAAAAGTTCGACGTTTGGCCTAGGCCTTTTTTTCTCTTTGTTACGCACTATTTACTTCACACAAAATGTTTTGTATATTGCAGATGTATGTAAACCGGGCTGGTCATATTTTAATGGTATTTGTTACTCGACAAGCCATTCGTGCAAAAATTGGACTGAAGCTGAGAAAACCTGCCAAGCATACAGCGGCAACCTCATCACTGTGCGGAATCAAGAAGAAAACGTCTATATTCAGCATCGGCTGAATGGTGCAAAGGGCTGGATTGGTCTAAACGATAGGGTAATTGAGGGTGCTTTTGACTGGGCAGATAATCAAACCAGTAACTTTTCATATTGGGCGAAGAACCAACCAAACAACTTCAACAATGAAGATTGCGTTCACACTTTGGGAGTCAGACATAGTTTTATGTGGAATGATGTAAACTGTGGTACTTGCCATAACTACACCTGTTCAGAAGGTTTGTGGTTGACTTACCTCTTTTATATACCAACAGGCGTTGCTATTACTGGCAGTACAAACGTTTGTGGTAACAATTACACAATAATTTGCAAAAAAAAAAAACCTGGGTAAAAATGATTTGATAAAAGTGTCATTAAAAATAAATAAATGCTACGGGCTTTATGGGCCTCTTAATTACAAAATAAAAATGTTTATAAGTTAAAAACCATCGTTCATATAGCTGTCCATTTAATTATGGGATAGAAAATTAAGTACCTGTTAAAATAGGTGTCCAAAATTCCTTTAGATATCTAAGCGCTCAGCTTGAACATTCTAGCAATGTGTAATGAACTAGACAGGATTGCCTTTTGCATTTGGCGCATAATTGATTAACACTTGTCTCCTGTAAGGTCTTTTATATTTTGCTCAACCTCTTTCGAATAGCCCCCAAGGACATGCAAGATAATGTTATACTGATTATACTGATTTATTATAATTATTTATTATTATTGATACTGATTTATTACTATTATTCACTAGTTCCTATTCTGTTCCTATTATTCATTAGTTCCTATTTAAAAGCAATTTCCGAAAAGTGATTATAAAACTACTTCCTCATTAAAGGGTTTGCGCTTGACCTCATTTTGAAAATGTGGGTTTTCATGAATCGAAAATGGTCTATATTAACGTTTCCAGGCATTAAGAGTTATTTTTATCTATTTCAATTGTATTTTCTTCCTTTCTTATTGCCAGAGAAGATCCTAATTGACTTTCACCAATTTACACCTCGATAACCAATTGCTTGTTTTCAGTGTCAGGCTATTCAAAATAGATCAAAATAAAAATCAAAACCGTTCAATAGATAAATCTGGGAAATGAAAGGAGGTAAATATGCAAAGACCCTCCCCAAGATTCAGTTCATAGGAATATTTCGTATACGAGATATCCGAAGAAATGTTTTACCCAGATTTATAGAGATTCATATGGAGACGCCATGCCGGTGCCCAAACGGATGGGCACCAACATGGCGGACGGAAACCAACAGAAACATCTGTTACCGAGTTTTGCTATAAAAGCGTGAATTTATTCTTCGAGGAACTAATAAACATTAGAGTAATACTTTTTCTAATACATGAACTGTTTACATGACAAAACTCCCTGAATAAGTCATTTTTTTAACCTAGCTACATGACAGCTCTCTTGGCCGTCATGTAAATGAGGGTCACGCAAAAGCTTAGTAATTCAAGGGTACTTTATCACAAAACCAAGAACCCTTTTGAGCCGAAGATTTTTATGAAAATTAGCTTTCAGCTGCTCTAATACATCGTGGAGGCAAAATCTCGGTAGGATTGACAGTTTTGTAGTTTGTATTTTAGTGACGTCATATGAAAACCAACAATAGGCCATTTACCCAGAATCCTTCAGGGTATTGCTTTCTTATGAAAATTATGGCTTTTGTTATTCAAACCTCACCGGGATTAGCAAATTTAAATATGAAAGAAAAAACGAAATGAATTCTGAATTCTGGTCCCAGTAGTAAAAAGGCGTAGTCGTGCAAATGGCCCATTTCTCTGGCTTCTTAGCTGACAAAAAGTTTGAGTTTACCTTAAATCTGTTTGTTGCAGAAATAGTATAAATTAAAGGATTAGTCTACAAAGAAAAATGGGCACTACTTGTACGAAAAAGAAAATTAGACGTCACAAAAAGGATCCATAAGTTGGCGCTTTTAGCATTGCATTTAGCACTGGTTTTTTAAAAAAGTTGATTGACAATCGATCGTTTCATTATTTGTTTTGCGGGTTGATTGACTGAACGATTGTTTTATATTCGTTTGTAAATTAGATTTTGATGAATGTGGAGGAAACAATAACCATTGTCATCAGAACGCCATCTGCACAAACACTATTGGCTCCTATAGCTGCCGGTGCTCCGTAGGATATACCGGTGATGGCTTGCTTTGTAGAGGTATTATGTTCGAAGCCCCAAGTTGCAGTTTTTCGTTTAATTCATGAAGCATAATTATTAAAGAACCTCATCCAGTGGTAAAGAGACATCTCTTGTGAGTTTAAGGCTAGCTTGGGGCGAATTTCTGAGGTAGAATAAGCATGCTTTTACCGTAAAATTGCCTGAAAATTTGTTTTTCAAATAGCTCTTTAGAGGGATTTAAATACGGAGCAGCGTATTATAGTAGAAAAATAAGCGTTTAAACATAGGCTGGCACAAATTAGGAGGGAGATCTCAGAAACTTTTTTATTCCAATTTCAGAGATTGCAAAATTTGGACATTAACCTAATCTCTATGAACAACCCTGAGCAATGAAGTTTATTAACTATCCTAATTTTATAGCTTGTAGAAATACAGACCATACTAAAGTTTTAAATACAGCCCAAAAAGGGAATTAAAGTACGTACGTGGATTTCCCTACAATTTCAAAATCTAACCTCTCATAGACTGCGTAGCTTTCCGCTCTGGTTACAACTTTCTCAACAAACCCGAGGGGGGACGCTTGTTAGATCCAGTTATGCAGGCTTAATCTTTCGGGGATAATTTTTTTTGCTTCAGATATCGACGAATGTTCTTCAGGTCACCAGTGTGACAGCAGTGCGACATGTTATAATACAGATGGATCCTACACCTGCACATGTAACAGCGGCTTCACGGGGGATGGACGAACCTGTCGAGGTACGAGTATTTGAATAAATAATTAATGCTATAAACGACAGCTCTGTAAAACTTTTTGATTAACTAGGTTGGCTGCCAATAGGTGACATCATACGTAAAAGAAATCCTCTCATGCCACACAAAGTGATTCAAGATCTTCCTAATTATTTCACGCCCTATTTCAAACATGTCCATTCTTCACATGGTCATGGTCTGATTAGATCCGCCGCCCATAACAACTCTGTCAAACCACTCTGTCAAAGAAAATCAGGACTTAAGCCTGGTTTTCATATGATCGTCCGGATCGTCCCGATCGCCCCAGTCGTTTCAAAATATTTCGAGACGATCCAGACGACTGGGGCGATTGGTAGTTTCCATATGATCGTCTCGATCGCCTCAAAGGCAAGACAAGCTTGGTCGTCAGCGATGTCTCTGGGTCAGACAATAGAATTTTTGCGCGTGTTTTGCATACAAGCCACATAAATGGATGATTTTTATTCGTAAGGCGAACCTCGTATCTTGGTATCTGCTTTTTCTCTTGATTTTGCGGCGTTGAGAAGCTAGAAGAGTTCCCCGAAGACATAGTATTCTTCGAAAACTTGATGTCACGGACTTTCTCTAATTTCAAATAACCCCCATACGCGCTGCGAACATTTGTGTATTATTTTTTGGGCTTCAGCGCCATCCGGGCCGAATTTATTCTCGATTACCGGAATAAAAGTGATGACCTCTGGGACAATCTTCGATCTTCCCGATCGTCTCAGTCGTCTGAGAGCGTTTCCATATGATCGCTTCAAAATTTACATGATCGTCCCGATCGTCCGCATAGAACTCAACTCTATCCAAGCGATCGAGGTCGTCTCAGTCGTCCGGGTCGTTTGCGATTGTCTGGGTAGCGTTTCCATATGATCGTCCCGATCGTCTGAACATTTTTTGAGACGACTGGGATGATCGGGACGATCATATGGAAACCAGGCTTTAGGAAGTTTCCCTCAAGTACTTGTCGCCCATGAAATAAATTAAGGCCACTCGTATAGAGACATAGTTTCCCACACAATGTTCAGAAAAGCACAACCGGATAGGTTTACCAAGTACAGTCAACGCCTCGATAGAACATTTTACGGTTTTCAGATCTTGTTACAAGTTTATAGCAGTTGTAGAATTTCTTTAGTAGAGAGATTAAGATTCCCGTTTACGCCAATCGGCAGACGTGAATTTCTACCACGTGACCAAGTTTCCCCCATATTTTCCGTTTACTCTTTATTGCTTCTACACAAAAATAAGTATTTTTATGCCAGTTTTAACCATAGGAATAGTCCGGAACTGTCTGTCTGCTTATTTTCTATTCTGGGAAATTCTCAACTTGAGCCGTTTGTGGTAAACTTGAATCATAATCTCTCTATTATATTTTTTTTACTAATGGCTGTAGTGTGAAGGGCCATTATAAGAACTACCCAATGGTAGTAATGTTTCCACCCTACGGTTAAATAAAATTTCTTGTCTTGTTGTTGTTGTTGTTGTTCTTCCTCTTCTTTTGTGATGTCGTTCACTTACACATTGGGGAAGTAGTTGGGGGGGGGGGGGGGCGCCCCGTCCCCCCCCCTTTTTTTTGGGCCAAACGCTGAAGCCCGTGGGGTTGAGAAAAATCATTTTCTCGCCCGGCCCCCCCCCCTATGTGCTAATCTGAATCCGTCACTGCGCTTCTTAACCTCATAGAATAAAAAA